CTCACATCCAGACATGTGTCTTCAGACACTCATTGACACCCCCGTGGACACACATCTTCAACCCTGGGTCTGCCCCCTGTCCTGGGGCTCTGTGGGAGCGCCAGGTTCAGTCCTCCCCATCGGAGTCAGTGGGGCCTGACAGACATAAATGCTCAGTGGAGATTGGGATGGAAGGGGAGGGAGGTGGAGCCCTGTCCCTGGTTCCCCTCAAATGGCTGGGTCCAGCTGGGCCAGGGTGGTCCCCCAACTACTTGGCTGGGTCAGCTTGGACCAAATCTAGACCGAGGGTGGCCCCTGGTGGTTATGTGTGGTCTCTGCGCCTGTTTGTGTGTGTGCGTTGGGGGTGGTGACAGGTGGCCTGATTGGCCAGCTTGAAGGCCCGAGCAGAGAGGACAGGCCCAGGCTGAGCACATGGTGACCAGAGACCAGAGTTCAGAAGTGGGAGCCCAGATTCAGAGCCACCAGAACCAGAATCTAGATTTCCATGATACCAAGACCTAGAATCCAGATCCAAGAACTCGGTCAAGTGCGGTGGCTCATGTCTGTAATCCCAGTGCTTTGGGAGACCAAGGTGAGATGGATTGCTTGAAGCCAGGAGTTTGAGGCCAACCTGGGCAACATAACAAGACCCCACCTCTTTAAACATTTTTCTAAAAAATAGCCAGATGTGGTGGCACATACCTGTAGTACCAGCTACTTGGGAGGCTGAGGAGGGAGGATTGCAGCAAATGGGAGGAATTGGAGATTGCAGTGAGCTATGATTGCACCACTGTACTCTAGCCTGAGTGACAGAGTGAGACTTTGTCCCAACCCCCCCCAAAAAAAAAAAAACGGGTGTGGTGGCTCATGCCCATAATCCCAGCACTTTGGAAAGCAGAGGTGAGAGGATTACCTGAGCGCACAGGTTTGAGACCAGCCTGGGCAAAATGGTGAGACCACATCTCTGAAACAAACAAACAAATAAATAAACAAATAAATAAACAAGCAAGCTGAGCATGGTGGTGCTCACCTGTATTTCCAGCTACTTGAAAGGCTGAGGCATAAGGGTCACCTGAGCCCAGCAGGTCGAGGCTGCGGTGGCCGTGAGCGCGCCACTGCACTTCCACTCTAGTCTGGGCAACAGAGAGAGACTCTGACTCAAAAAAAGAAAAAAAATCTAAAATCCAGGTCTAAGTACCAAAGTATCTGTAATTCAGACCCAAGAGCCCATACTCAGGAATTCAGAATCCAAAAATCCAGATTCAGGTATTCAGAACTAAAATCCAGACCCAGAATCCAACTCCAAGAGTCCAGAACCTAGAATCCAGAGGCTGCCCTGCGGAGTCCAGAGCTCTGAGCCCTCCTCAGACCCCCCAGATCGGAGCCGAGCAGCCTGGGTTGGCAAGGGCAGGAAAGAAACCAGAGGAGCTGGAGAAAAGCCCAGTACTGACCACACAGAGACTCTCCCTGCTGCTGCCTCTTTCCAGCCCTGCTCCATGTATTCACACACACACAAAGACACACACACAAAGACATACACACAGGCCAGGCATGGTGGCCCATGCCTGTAATCTCACACTTTGGGAAGCTGAGGAGTGAGAGTCGCTTGAGCCTGGGAGTTTGCTTGACCAGCCTGAGCAACATAGCAAGACCTCATCTCTAAAAACAAAACAAAACTAACTGGGTGTGGTGACGCATGCCTGTAGTCCCAGCTACTCGGGAGGCTGAGATGGGAGGATCACCTGAGCCCAGCGGGTCAAGTCTGCAGTGAGCCATGACCGTGGCATTGCACTCCAACTTGGGTGACAGAGTGAAAACCCGCCTCAAAACCAAAAAAAAGACACAAACATTCCAAGAGAATCCTACACACAGACCCACGCCCCAGACACACAGCAAACAGCCTGTGGTTGTCAGCTGTACAGCCTCACCCTCCTACAGACCCACACAATCACACACACAGGGACACACACACTCCACTGCCAGTGCTTGGCCACACACACACACACACACACACACACACACACACACACACACCTGTGCACCCACTTCATCTCAAAGCTCCACCCATAGCTATCCCACCAAACTCTGAGACACACAACCACCCCACAGAGACACAAAAACCCACGACCGCCAGCCCTGCACCCAGACACGCTCAAAAAACTGCGGAGGCTGGGATGGGTGTGAACACACACACACACACACACACACACACACACACACTCCCCCAGGCATGAAGAAGCCCCATGTCTTGGCAGCCATGCAGCCCCTGGGAATGGGACCCCAGGGATGGGGCTCGCCTTGCACACCCCGTGCCCATGCCAGCCCTCCCCTGCCTGGCCGGCTGGCGGGCTTTAATACAGATGCCAAACTCATAATTGTAACTGAGGGTGACAGGGTCACCTTGAGCCCCAGATGCTCGCGCGGTGACAGATGGCGTTGGCAAACCTGATTAGCAGCCCCCGTGCCAGCGCCTGTGG